ATATAATTTGCATCTTGCAAATTGGTTCCATCGGCAAAAACGCTATCGCCTATCAATTGGGACAAAACATCGGGGCTTGGAGCTTTGGGTGGTTCTACATCTTCAAGGAGTGGCAGTGGAAGTGTGCCAGTAAAAGCGGCAACATATTTTTTTAATTTCGATTTTGTATTGTTAATTTGAGGGACAAAATTAATACATGCGTAGCACCTGGATGCATCATGACCGTTTGGGTCTTTTATCCAGATCACTGGCTTAGAAAAAGGCATATTCCTTCTTCGTCGATGTAACCAATGCATCAGATTGATATTTCAGTTATTGCATACTGTATTTGGCGTAAAATCTTCAACACTCGAATCCGCTTCGTCAAAATATAAAGTGTATGCTTTTTTAAATTCTTCAGTGATCTTTCTGCTGCAATTTAGGCACTAAATGACCACACATGTAACAAAATGCATTTAATTTTGGACACTTGCTATTAATAAATATATTTATGGACATTTAAAAGGGAAAAATAATTAATAGGTAATACGTTAAAACCTTTCCAAACTTTATGCCGCATTTATAGATTTTATAATATTATGTCTTTTGATGTGTTGAACAGACTTCGGAAAGATTTTAATGTCTTTAATATATAAATAATTATTGTTAATTTTTGCATCTAATATATTTTATAAAGTCAGTTTTTTTAGTAAAACTTATTTTCACATTTTACTGTATATTTTCCTACATTCGGCTTCCAAAACCGCCCCATCATGTCATCTTGGGAATGAGACAACCCATGGAATATACCTTTTAAACCAAGAAACAATTTTCAAAACGGGAAGTTGATGAAATGCCAATATAAAAATTAATTTCCATTTTTTTTCATACTTAGGGGTGGATTTTTTTCAATAATTTATATACCCTACACATTATTAAAAGAATTAAAAAAAAAACAGTTCACAGTTGGCGAAGATATCTCGTATCATAGCTTCAAAACAGACCTTTTTGTAGTTTAATCGCCAATTTTTCACCCTTAGGGGTGGTATTTTTTTATATAATTTTTATGGGATCATCGCTAACAAAAACCCTACAAATTAAAAAAATATATATTAAAATCGGTTATCAATAGGCCAAGATATCCTACAACATACCCAAGCCTGAGTCAAAATTTTCAAAATGCAATAAAATCCTTATTGGAAACAAACTTTGCTACTGTTATAAAGTACTTTGAAGAACACCACTCAAAATTCATAGTATACAGTTAACCTGCTAAGAAAGTAGGTACTAAACCTGAATTTTCAAAAATATTAATAATCTATCAATAAAAAAAGCCTATTTTAAAAAAGCCTATTTAAAAAATCTGTATACACCGACCTTACCAGAAACCGTCAACAAAGTCAATAATCAAATTTAATATGCAGAACTTAAAATAGTCTTATCATATTAAATAATGAATATCAATTTATAAAATAAATAAAATAAGATAAACTGTACAAAATAAAGTTTGTAAGTCTTAAATAGAAATATGTTAAAGTAAATGTAATATAAATATAATAGGTAGTTATAAACATAAAATAATGATTATAATAAATTTGAAATTTGGTTTGTCCAAACACAACCATTAAGATACAAAGTTCAGCTTATTCCTTATTTTACAAGAACAAGATGAAATAATAGTAAAATATACTTAGTTTAAATTAACTATTAACCAATTAACCACTTATTATGATATTAACCACTTATTATGATATTTGTGACCTTTGATTTAGTTAGAATGAAATAAACATACCTAGTTATTTAACCACTATTTTTAACACAAACTGATTTTATATGAACTTGGTTATTCAAGAGTTAAATTCACTTCCTTACAACAATTAAAGAATTTAACTATTCTCTTCAAACAGACCACCTAAAATTTACTGTCTTATCTACATGCTCTTTTTAATGTTTATTTTCAGAATAGGAACTGTACCAAAACTTGCTTAACGACCACTTGAGGGGTCAGCCAGATGAGAATCATAAATTACTATAGCATAATAAACAAAAAAACTGTATTGAATTTTAAAGTGAAAACTTATACCTGAGTCAAACCACGTCAAGTGGGACCAGAAAATTTCACGAAATCACCGATTTTGAAAATAATCACATTTTTGTGTAGTACTCATATGTCACAGTAAAAAAATTGTTTTAAAATTCGTTTTTTTGGTAATGTTATTAAGGTTGACAATATTGTCAAACTTTAGAGCACGGTAAAATTGAAAAAATAGAATCTCTGGAACCACTAGGTATAATTGTATTAAATTTTACACACTATTGTAGAAATGTTTAGACTATATAATGATCATTTAATTAAGGTTAATTTGTTTAAATAAAATAATTTTGCATACATTTATTATAAACAATTGAAATTTTGTATGTGTTCTTCACGCTGAAAAAAAATTAATCTTGTGTCATAATATGCGGCAAACGTTCCCGTTTAATAAAATGTACTCAAAAATTTGTCCTTCATATGTCATTCCGGAGATATTAAATTTTTTGTCCCGCTGTGCGCTTGATCAGTACGCGGCGCGCTTCGCTGCTAGCTCGTCAGGACACGGTGTGCCTGAACGAAGTTTAAGTCGCATAAAAATTCCGCAGTTTCTTGTTCGGGACTCTTTGGTGACTTAAAAATAATATTTACCAAAATCCTAGCTGCTCCCCTTTTCGAAACATTTTGAAAAATCTTTTTTATGCATTATGCCTTTTACTATATAAAAAAGTGATTTGTGTCTAACCCTGTATAAATCTAATAATGTGCTCAGTATAAAAACAGTTTCTCTCGTTTACAATATCGGTGTACAAATGTGTACTCTGGCAAAGGTAGACTTTGCGATAAACAAATAATTTTAAAAAAATAATTTTTTACAAATTTAAACAAAAAACAGTGGAAATTACACTGTACAAATTAGTGAAATAGGTTTAGTTCAAAAAAGTTAAAATTTTACTATTTTATGTCGAGAGTTCCGGAAAAGTAGTTATAATAAAAAACACTAATTTAGAAGTTAAAATTTCACTAATTTATATTGAAAAACACTAATTTTACAGTGACTAACGGAAATAGTGAAAATTTCACTGTTTCACTTTTAGAGAGTACTAAAAAGCCTAAATTAAACAACATTTTAAATACTCTCTAAGCCTTATTTTATTAAATTTTATTACAAATCTATTTTTCTTGTAAAATGTTAATAAAAATGCAATTTTGTAACCTGATAGACGTAGAAATATCTAAAAAAAAATTGGGGATAAATATTTTTCGCGTGTTATGCTATAAGTAATCATGAATTTACGCTTTTGCATTATTAAAAATAAGTGATTTTTGGCTAACCCTGTATATATCAAATGATGTGAACAATATTAAAAAGTATTTTCTAAGTCTCCTAAATAATTTACTCTAATTTTATAAAAATCGGTGTGCAAATGTGTACTCTGTCAAAGAGATAAACAAAAATTTAAAAAAAAAATCATGAATTTTCGAACAATTTTGAAAAGAGTAGCAGCTAGAACTTTGGTAAATATCATTTTTAAGTCACCAAAGGGTCCCGAACAAGAAACTACAATCAGTTTTTGGCGGCATTTTTATGTGACTTAAACTTCGTTCAGGCACACCGTTAAAACGTTAGAACGGACGAGCTAGAAACGAAGCGCGCCGCGTACTGATCAAGCGCACAGCGGGACAAAAAAATTAATATCTCCGGAATGACATAGGAAAGACAAATTTTTGAGTACATCTTATTAAACGGAAACGTTTGCCGCATATTATGACACAAGATTAATTTTTTTTCAGCGTGAAGAACACATACAAAATTTCAATTGTTTATAATAAATGTATGCAAAATTATTTTATTTAAACAAATTAACCTTAATTAAATGATCATTATATAGTCTAAACATTTCTACAATAGTGTGTAAAATTTAATTCAATTATACATAGTGGTTCCAGAGATTCTATTTTTTCAATTGTACCGTGCTCTAAAGTTTGACAAAATTGTCAACCTTAATAACATTACCAAAAAAATGAATTTTAAAACATTTTTTTTACTGTGACATATGAGTCATGCCTACTACACAATAATGTAATTATTTTCAAAATCGGTGATTTCGTGAAATTTTCTGGTCCCACTTGACGTGGTTTGACTCACCTAACATTTAATACAATTTTAATACAATTGTTTAAAATTTAATCCCATATTTCGTAACGCTTAAAAATTTAAACCACCAAATGTTACAGTAGTTTACGAGTTCTATAATTATAATTATAGACCAGTATAATGGTCATATAAGGTTTCTGCAACCTTTGGGTATATAATTATAATATTTAAACCTATATATAGGTTACCCGTCACGCCAATTTTTTATAGCATTAATAAATAAAAATCAATTTGATTTAGGAAGAATATTTTTAAGATATTTTAGGTAAAATATAAAGAGTAATGGATTGAATCGCATGATGCAGCATCTAAATCATTTTTTTTTTTACAATTATTAAATGGAAATTTCACTAAACAGTTCACTAAACACATAAAAGCCATTTTATTTAGCCTGAGTTAACCTGCTAAGAAAACATATTTTAAGAAAGTATGGAGGAATAAGAGGAAGATGATGGTGGTGTTAACATTTTTTAGCGAATACACATTTCGAACAGAAAAATAATATGTTTGGCTAAAATTTTGATGATGGTGGTATTAACATTTTTTAGCAAAACACATTTCGAAGAGGGAACATATTATGTTTGGCTAAAATTTTGTTTAAAACATTACATACCTAATCATATTTATTTTGATTTGGTACCTACTACAATTTAAATTATAAATAATTCCTTGATTTTTAAAATCGTACCCACAGAAAAATCTTTTAAATATGCATATAAATTTATTTAGTATTTAACATTATATTTCTTCGTGACCGATCTGCAAACATCAGTTCATAAATATTCATTATTTAGTTTAGCTATTTTATTTTATGAAATCCGGTTTTAGAATGTTTGTTGTAAGGTAATAAATTTTGCATTAGATTGAAGTATATTGTTACCTTTTAAACAGATTTAAAGCTAAACACCGCGGTGCACTATATTGATATGAATAATTTTTGTGGCAAAAGAGTTTTAGTTACGGGAGCAGCCCAAGGTGAGTTTAATAAGATTTATAATTCATAAATGTTGGCTAAAAATGTCAATGTCCAGAAAACAACTGTCAAATTAATTAACTTGTTTAACTGGTTCCTCTTTTATCTATGAACTGGTTTGATTGTTTAAAAGTACAGAAAGGAGAAAGCAAGCTACACTATAAAAAATATATATATATATATATATATTATAACATAATATAATATATAAATTAATATTATAATAATATTTTATATATTATATTATTTTATATATAAAATATTATTATATAAAGGGGTAAGAAGCAAAATTAGTTAAGTGCAGAATAGGGTATACGCTACTTGGGGTATTTCTAGGAAAAAAAAAACTTTAATGAGAATTGTGATATGTATCTTGTATTTGGAGAAGATCCCGAGTCCTGAGTGTCAAGAACATGATCTGTAATTTTTGTTATAAAAAATTGGTGGAATAATATTCCTTGGAACCTTTAACTGTTAAAGGTTCCAAGGAATATTATTTCACCAATTTTTTATAACAAAAATTACAGACCATGTTTAACATAAACTATGTGCAAACCATTAAATCTTGCATATGATGCTAATTATTATCAACACATTGACGAAGCCGTTTTCGGAAATTGGTACAAAAAAGAGAAGTGGAGTTAAAAACTTAAATAATAATAATAATAATAAATGTCTTTATTGATTATAAGAGATACAATCAATGGGCGAAGTTCAGCTTAAACAAAGCATGTATTTGCTGCTCTTCCACTTAACCCTTCCTATACCTAAACCTAAGCTAACCTAACCTAATTTAATTTTGGCCTAAAACCCCCCTTCAACTTAAATATCAATTAAACCATTAATTATAAGTTTTAATCCAGATTTAAATTGTTTCCCCTTTAATTTTTTTAATTGTGTAGGTATCAAGTTGTACCATTTAGCAATGTTATAACTAAAACTTCTTTTAAACATGGCTGTTCAGTGCAGAGGTGTAGTTATGTTATACACTGTTCAAAATCAAGCCTTTTGAAATATCTAAACAGAATTAGTTAAGGAAAAATAAGGTAATATGCTTAAAGGAGTAAAGCAATTTACCTTCTCGTTTATTAGGCAGAAACTAATGCCTTAGTTCTATGGTGTATTCACTAACTTCTAGATAAATATTCATACTTTAGTTAATAAACTTGTCAAATTTAAAAAGATAGGCAGATTACCTAAATATTTAGTCAAAATCTCAATTACTTTTAGTTACGACAATTTTGCTTTTAATTTAGGTAATTCTTCTAAATTATTATGGCAAATTATTGAACTAATTTAGGTAAATTCCTTTAAATATTAGTGACTTACTTGTAATCGGCTACGATCGCTAATACCGACGTTTTACGATAAATATTCGCGGCGCGAATTTCGCGCCTATATTGTCCACCATAATGCCAAAATAAACGAAAGCGTAAAGACCGCGTTGTGTGCTATTGATATAACAACATAGTTAACAATTATTGTGCTATAAGTGAACATTTTGTAGTGCTATATTTAAGTAATCCAAACCAAATGGAATTTCCCATTGACCCCAATTTATTTTTAACCCTGTAGTACCGGAACCGCCGTTGTTAATTCGCCTACGAAAGATAAAGTTATAACTTGGAAGAAAATTCCTATGCCAAAAGAAACTTTATTAAACTTATAAAGTAGGTATACCTATAAGTATTATTAAAATTATAAATTATCTAGGTATTATTAAAATAAACGTAATTCGTTTTTGTTACTTTTATTATTTTTATTTTTACATACTTATTAATATACATTTTCAATTTAACTAAAATAAATGTATTTTTTATTTTATCCATCAGCACTTAAAAGGGGGATTTATAATGTCATTCTTTTCTCATTTGCATTGCTCGATATCGGTAATTTTTTACAATAATATTTAACATTTACAATAGTATATTTCCAAAATAGTATATTACCTAAGCAATGCGTAAGAATAAAAATGACATTATAAATATCTTCTCTCCTAAATGCCCCCACCGCCAATTCTTGTTCCCCTTATATTTTTGTCTAATGAAATAGTGGAATTTCACTAGAAAATAAGTAGAATTTTACTAGAAAATTAGTAAAACTTCACTAGATAATTAGTGAAATTTCACTGGAAAATTAATAGAATTTTTTAGGGTATACCTATTATCTAAAAAAAATTAAATAAATTTACCGTTAAAAATAAGAGGATTTTCACTAAAAATATATATGATTTGCCTGAAAACAGCTAAAATATACCTAAAAATTTAAGCAAATGGCCTTAGAAACCGGAAATTTATTCTTTTATTCTCAGGCAATATCCCTTACGATCTAAGGTGTATCATCTTTGAAACCTAAGTGATTTTGCTTAATTAATTGTATTATTATTTTCTTTAAAAATATCAGTTAAATAATTCACTAATTTAAAAGGGGAATATTCCTCTGAATTTCAAGCAGTTTGCCTTAAAAAATCAATGGTCCTATATAGTCTAATATTTTAGGTAAAACATTTTGAACAGTGTATCGGTAGCGTATGTTTAAATTATGTACGTCAGTTCTAAATGTTATGGTGTTGTACAAATATTCAGGACTCTTGTCATTATAAAATGTAAGGCAGTGTAACAATCTCCTTTCCGACATATTTAACCAATTAATATGTTTGGCTTTGAGAGGCCCCCTACGGATTCCACAGATAAACCGAACACTTAAATTTTGCATTCTCTGAATACGGTTTGAGTCTAATTTTGTGATACACGAATGATATAAATTATCGCCAAAATTAAAGTGGGACAACACTAGCGAATCACACAACTGTTGCTTAACATTGGAGTCAATAAGATGCCTATGCGGGTAGATCAACTTAAGGTTCACAAACGCCCTTTTTATGCAGTTACTAATGTGTTTACTAAACCTCATGTCCTGATCCATTTCAATACCCAAATTTCTTGCTACTTCTGTAACATGAATTGGTGTATTATTAAGTTCAATGTTAAGAAATTGTTTATTTAAAAGGATACTTTTATTACGGCCAAATAACAAACATTTAGATTTTTCTGAATTTATTGACAAAAAATGTGCAACCGATGCCTTTTAAAGCTTGTGTAAATCAGAATTAATCAACCTATTAGCATCTTGAATTTCTTCTGCCTTAAATGAAAAATATACCTGTGTATCGTCCGCGTAGAGATGTAGTTTACAATTTTTAATACAATTAACCAGTTCTGAAGTATAAATTTTATAAAACAAAGGACCTAAAATTGAACCTTGTGGTACTCCACTCTTTACATTGGTAGGTTTAGATATAGTTGTTCCAAATTTTACCCTTTGTGTTCGCCCTGTCATATAATTGCGTAATACGCAATGCGTATTAATTGAATAGCTTCTCTACTAAAACCAAAGTAATGAATGATGTTAAAAAATAGTTCATGATTTATTTTATCAAATGCTTTAGAATAGTCTAAAAGGACTAGCACTGTAAGTTGATTTATATCTAAAGCTTTAAAAATATCGTCACTTATTTTCAATAATGCCGAAGTGCAGCTGTGATGCGGCCTAAATCCTGATTGCACAGCGGGCAGCACTTTATTTTGATCAAGATATTTTCTGATTTGGGCATTCAAAATTTTTTCCATTATTTTAGACAACGTAGGCAAAATACTAATAGGTCTTAGGTCTTTAAATTCTGTGGGGCATTGATTTTTAGGTACGGGTGGTACATAGGCATTTTTCCAGGACTGAGGAAAATTGCCTGTCTCTATACAAAAATTAATTATGTGAGTAATAACTGGTATTATAAAAGGACAGCTTTGAACTAACATTGTTAAACCTATGCCATCATACCCAATGGCTTTAGATTTTATAGACAACAATGTAGCCTGTACTTCATTTTCATTCGTCATCACAAAATTAAAACTAAACCTTATATCCTTTTTATGGTTTTTATAAAAATTTAATAAATCGATATCAGGCTTTTCCACATTTGCTGTTATGCTTGAAAAGTATGCATTAACCTCTTCAACTTTATTTAAATTATCCGGTATTTTTAAAATATTTTTTGAATATACACCCATATTTTTTAATGTTTTCCAATTTTCTTTGATGTTTTTGTTGATACTAGTTTATAATTTAGGTCATGTTTAATTGCGGTATTTGCATAATTTTTTAAATCTTTATAGCTCATCCAATCGTTTTGTGAATGTGTAGATTTATATTTTGTTAACGCCTTATCTCTTAATGAAAAAATAAATTTTAAGTGGTCCGTTAACCATGGTTTTTGTAAATCTTTTTATTTGTAAAGGTGCATGTTTATTAAAAATATTTAGCAAATATTCGTTTAATAAGCCCAGTTTTTCATTAATACATACGCAATTAAATATATGGTTAAATGGAAGTAATTGTAAATCATGATAAAAAACTGGTAAATTTATTTTATTGAAATCTCTGTATGAATGGAACATTTCCTTGTTTTTATTATTTTCTTTAATTAAAGTACACTCTATTAAAAAGTGATCCGACATAACAACAATATTACCTATCAACTCTTACAGATTTGACAGATTCTTCCTTAGAGCAGATAATTAAATCAATAAGCGAAGGTTTATTTACAGAGACATGCGTTGGTTCATCCACAATTTGTTTTAAATTGTAAGAGTCAAGAATATTAAGAAAATCTGACGCATTTTTATTTAACAAATTTAAAAAGTTAATGTTAAAGTCACCTGTACAAACAAAACGATTTCCAAACTCCAGTAAAATCTTACATAAAACACCATCAAACTCATTTAAAAAAGTATCAAAATTTAAAAATCCTGGAGGTCTGTATACAACACCAATAACATACTTAGTCTTATTTATCAAAACCGAAATAAATAGTTTTTCAAAAGAACTTACATTTTCAATTGCCACTTTGGTTATTTTATAAATGTGCTTATACCTAATATAATAACACTCCACCTCCTCTTCCTTGACGATCCACTCGAAGAAGATTGTAACTAGGGACATTTAA